GAACTTCTTAATCTAGTGTTAAGTGAAGCAGTTGTTGGACAGCTTTATACCTCCTACTCAGAGCTTCACGGGACGGTTCACCTGTCGCCTCCAGTTGTGCCTTTATTTCCTGTGTGTAGTGTTGGCAGACAGTAGAGCAGAGTTCTACTAATCTCACACTATTCCAATTAATCAGTAGCTACTGTGACTTCTTTGTACCTATGGAGCAGTGTGGAGACATAATGGCTCCAATAATCAAATGTCTTCTTTAAAAAAACAAGTCTCGAAATTCTCAGCACTTTTTCCTGAGGATTTTCTAATAACATGCAGTTCTTTAAGAACTTCACATCAGATCTCAGGATTTGTTATGTTTGTTACCTAAATGTGTGACAGCATTCTTTAAAATACATGGTAAAGAGCCATAGAGAAAAAACTAATTTTTTTTTTTACCTTTCTTTTTTTTTAATACTGGATAATTTATTTCTGGTTGAAGATTTTCTGTAATTTCATACAGGATTCAGGATTTTGAGATTCAACACAGAAGAAACATAGGTTTTATGTTGCTTTGGACTAGTGGTACTCCACCTGATGGTTAAAACAAAGCATCCTCAGAAGGCTGTCTGCACAGGATTTAGTCCACACGAGTTGAAGGTCACTTTAAAGAACTGTTGTGCCATGGCGAGTTCAGAAGAACCTGACGCTTTCCATTAGCAAGCACTATGAGAATAATAACAACAACTTTTACATTTGTGTTCATAGCATTATTGTGGTTTTTGTTAGTTTCGTTCTTCTGTAGGAGAAGTTTGGGTGTCTTTGGTTAAATCATACGTCAAGGTGTTAGGATGATTCAGAGTTTTTTCTTGGCCTTCCCGTAATTTCATTCTGTGTATTTAAGTAACTTAATCTACCTCTGTCTTCTGGTGTTGTTCCTGATGAGCAACATTTAGACAGTAGAAATTAATGATGTCATCAAGTTCTGGTGAAGTAGACTCCATTATTGTGGTGAGATTTTATGATACGGTGATGAGTGCTGTAAAAATGCCTGTATTTTGTATGTCTCTGCATATATAGCATCTCTCTGTCATCAGTTATTTACTGATAATGTTTTTGTACCTCTACTACTGTAGTGAGTATCATGAAGCTGTCTGGAAGTAGACGTCATTGCTTTTATGGCACATTTGCAGTGGATCTCCTACTCCATCCTAATGATGAAAGGATACCTGCCAAGAGCTGAAAAGCTGGCAGGCATCGTTCTATGAGCACTGTCTCTCTCATGTCTTCAGACATGCCAAATCGCAGTCCTTCTTGAGGTGCTCCTTTAAACACCAACACAAGTTAATTTTTTTGTTTGTTTCAATGAGGATTCCGATGTTTTCTGGCAACTATTCTCTTTTTTCGCATTCTAGTTATCAAGGTGATAGTTTTAAAACCTCCAGTTACTCTTGCAAAATATTTATTTTTGCAAAAACAAACTCTTGTTTCTCTCTGTTTCCTTGTACAGTGAGATTTTTAGCCTGTCCTCCCAGTACTTCTAGTATATTTAAAGCCTTTTAAATATAAGCACTATTTGAGGGCCTTTTGATATTCTTTTGCCTATATATGTGTAAATAATTGACTGTCGTGTGTAAGTAATTGCACATGCAAATAGGTACCCATCCAACGTTATGTATTTCGAATCAAATTCGTAATATAAAATGAGAATAATTTTATTTTAAATATGAAAGAATTATTTTAAGCATGTTCACAGGAAACTTAATCCATATCCATATGTATGTGTTTTCAGGAAATAAATTATGCTTTTCACAACCTTGTGGTGGTAGTTGTGAACTCATCGGAATTGCTGCATGTCTGCATTACAGCTGTGTGTAACAGCTAACAGAAGCAGAACTACCTTATACTTGCCACTTCAAAATGTAGGTCATTGTGTTGGAGAATGTAGGTCAGAGTGAAGGGGAAGAAGGCAGAATGCAAACTCTTCCACGTGGGTCTTTAAGCTTATCCCTGTTTTGAAGGTAAAGAGGCTTACCTACCTGTTCAAGCAAGAGAAGCTTTTCCTTTTACTGAAATTAATGCAGGTATTCTGGCTTCTTGGCTTAGCTGGAAGCACTGGGTGCTTCCACACTCAAGACCTGTGTCATGAAAGACCTCCTGACTTCTACTTCGTTAGCTGCCAGCCACTTATATCCTTGCTGAGGTGATGCTTCCTTCCCTATGGGGGAAGGGAGCAGGAAAAAGAGTCGTGCGCATCGCTAGCGTCTGCCTAAAGAAGAGCTTTGTCTTTCCAAAGGTGCTTTACCCTTCTCTCAGCACAGAGCTATCTGATACACCTGCAGTTTCAGCCCGTATCAACACTGTCATAGTAGCAGGGGAAAGAACGGTGACCCCTCATAAAAGATTTAGTGACACCGTTCAAAGTGCTCTTTCAATAGTAACCATAGAAAAGTGAGAGACAGATGTTAAAGGATTTTGCTACAATTGACAATAATTTTTAAACTCGCTCAGGCTAAAAGTTTGCTATAAAAGGGTTTAGGGATTTTCTGTTTGTGGGTGTGGGGGTTTTTTTTTGTAATGTGAGATATAAGTATTATAAAAGGTATTAAATTAGCTGTATCTTCACTAAATATTTAAAAAAGCACTTTTATTGCTTGAGTATAGACCAGTCACTGCAAACTGAAACATTCTTTATATTATACACTAAAATATTTAAACAGTTATTATATTTATTGCAAAATCTGTCATTTTAGGGTATTTCAGTACTCAAAAGCATTGAAATGCGCAAAAGGGGATGGAAAACCCTGTACAATTCTTAGTGTATGTTTCACTGAAGAATGGGTAGTCGTGTGTGAATATTTTATTTTAACCCTTAGCAAGTCTGAGCAAAATAGCGCATTTGCAAACACCTAATCAGCCTAAGCTGTCATAAGCAAGACAGATACCAATATTGCTTTAGTGTTTTTGTCATACCTATAAGCTGGCACTCTATTTTTTTTACCTTAAAGATCTTTGCCATGCCAAAGTTATATGCTAAGTTTTGGCCAAATCTAGTCTAGGCTTTTGCTTGATCTGCATGCAGGCAACACATTCATAAATTTTCATTATTTATCACTATAAGTAAGGCTAGTTCAGATAACTTAATGGATGGACAGGAAGAATTATGTATTTGATGGTTACAATCAGGTTCCAAGTGGTTTAAAAGGAAGACAGTTTTCCTCCCAAACTTTTACTTGCATTAAATACATTGTAAAGTTTTTAAAGTGTGGAGAATAAAAAATTATAAAAGATGATGTAAAGGATGCCCATAGTAATAAGCTGCATGGAATTCAGTTTACTTGTCTAGAAATATCTAAAGGATGCTCCCACAGTCTGTTCTGTATCCTGACATGCAGGATTTTTGCTGCCCTCTCCGTGGGCCATGGTGCTTCAATTAGATGTTGAAGTGACGTGGGAAACGGATCTGACGAAACAGCGAGTTTCATGAGTGAATGGTGTTGAATGGGTAAATTTGAATGGATGCCTCCAAGTATTTGCCAAGGTTGACAATGACCAGTGTTAAGTTTTATGATGGAAGCTTAGAAAGTCGTGAATAATATGGATTAAGTGAAAAAAGCGTGATTGCTCTTGTCTGTTCCCATTTGAGAACTAGGGGGCCTCAAGTAAAAATGACAGGGAGCCAAGTAGAAAACCAGAGAGAAGAGATGTTTCTTTATACAGCATGGTAAAACTGTGGTGCGTCCTGCCACTGGATGTCACAGCTGTGGAAAGTTTACACACATCCAGAGAACAACTAGAAAAATCCTTTAGTGACTGTTGACTTGGGGCTCAAGAAGTTCCTGAGGAGGAGGAGAGACAACTAGAAATCCTTAGATTTGTTGTGAGATGAATGTTGACAGTGCACTGATGTTTATAGTTGGCACTGAGACATCAAGGACCTTTCAGCTTCCCATGTTTTGCCAATGTGCAGGAACACAACAGGCTGGGGGGGAATGGAGTGGGGACAAAGGACAACTTTGTATTATCAACTCCCTTTATCATTTGAATTTATACCTAGGATTGAGGGCCAAATTGGTGAATGGAGTATTCCATAACATGCAACATCATGCCCAGTATGTAGATTAGAGTTTACCAGGAAGTTGAGAACTGTTCTTCGAAGGGCTCTCTCGGACTCTTGGAGTTCTGTCTCTCTCTTGCTGTCTTTTTGGGCCTGTCACTCGTCCAGGATTGCGGTGTCAGGACGTATCTGTTTCAAGATTGCTTGCTGGGACAGGACAGGGGTTGGTCACCGGGTGGTGAGCAATTATGCTGTGCATCACTTGTTTGTATGTATTACTATCATATTATATATTTTTTCATTTATTATTATTGTTGTTGTTGATGTTATTATCTTATCTCAATTAGTCTTGTTCCCTTTTCCCCTTTAATTGTATTCCCCATTCCGCAGGGGTGGGGCAGGGTGAGCAAGCAGATTCATGACGTTTTGTTGCTGGCCAGGTTAAACCACGACACCCACCTAACAAAACCTAAGACCCTCCCTGAGAAAAGGAGCTATATAAAAAGAAACTGGAAAGAAGTGGGATGACTGTAGGCAACAGCTAATGTAAAAGGGGGGGGCGGGGGGGCCTGTCTACAGTTAGACACAAGCTACAAGGCAAGGTGGACCTCACATCTGGCCTGGTACAGACATCTGATGTTTGTATGAATGCCCAAATGTCAGAAGTTTTGTAGGATTAAATTATATGTAACTTATAATGTCTTGACAATTCTATGTGTATGTATGGATATATGTTTATGTTTATGTGTGTGCCTGTGTCTATAAAGTAAATGTCCGATCATTAGTGAGGATGGAATCTATGAAATATTCATAAGTTTGCCATTAAAAGTCTTATTTGTTTCTTTATTCCATGGTATTGTGGCAAATTTAGAAAATGAAACAGTTGGTAGAGATCTTCAAATGGTAATATGTATTCAAATATTGTAGACAAAAAAAAATCATCTATTCTAAGACTTATATCTTTGTTTTATAGGTCTTTGGCCATCTGAAGAAGTGCTGGCTTACTACTGCCTAAAGCACAATGAAATATTCAGGTACAGAGTTAAACATAAAAAGATACTTTCCAATCTGTGAGTTTTATTGTATCTGCATGGTAAAGATTGCTATGATTTAAGTCTTCAGTTTAAATTTAAAATGTTCAAGGTGAAAGCATGTTGCTCTTAACAAAGAATTCTGAGCTGCCTTTGGGTACTAATATTGCACAGCAAGCTTTCTGCTATATGTCAAAGACTTTTGATTTCCACTCAAGGCGTTTTATTTCACTTTGATTTTTGGGAAACAAAAGTGAAGCTCCAATCGATCAGTACTGATTGTGAAGGTCAGGAATAATAAAAGACATTCTTTAAACTGACATCTGTTGCAAAAGCAAGCAAAATATTACCTGATAAAATGCATAATAATCACTGCATATAGCGATGCAGGAATTTGCGTCTGTATTTTAGTGTTGTGAAACAATTTTGAGACATTCTGCACTTTTTGGGTTTTTTTTTTTTCACATTTTCTAAACTTGTAGAAGACAGTTTTCAAGGGTCCCATAAGAACACCTAAAATTAAAATCCGTCCTACATCCTCTCTCATTCCTCTTGAGTATACAGAGCCTTGCACTTGGAAATCTTTGAAGCTTCATTGTCCAGAGGATGAATGGGTGCAAGAAAAAGCCATTATAACAATGCATTTGCAGGCATAAACTGTGTTCTGAGTGAGAGTGCAAGGCTAATACCAAGTAAACCAGCTTGGAGCATACAAAATCCCTCAGTCCATGTACATATGGTGTTGGTAAAATAGGGAGGACCAAGCTGTACGTCACTGCCCCTTGTACCAAAGCCGAAAGCGTATCAGCTGTGAGCTGGTCCCTGCAGCTTGCTCGAACTCCTATCTGAAATCAAAGATATGGCACTAAAGCATGCTCTGATTTGTAAAAGTTCGCTTCTACTCCGGCCACCTCCTGAAGGAAGCCCACCCCATCAGAGGAGGCAGCTAACACACCTAATCTGGTGGCCGCTGCTCCTTCCTCTGAGTTCAGCTGGGCACTGCATTGTGTGACTTTAGCTGGTGTCATGGTGTCCCTGTAGCACTTTGCCGTCCAGCCCCATGCTGCGGCTCATGCACTCTGCTTGTTCTCAGAGGCTCTTCACAGCAAACCTCCCTGTGCTGCTCACTAAAAGAGAATTTTCCTAGTTTGAATATGCAAGGCTGGATACTTGGAGGCAGCGATCAGTCAAATTTCCATGGGGGAAATGGGCAGTTTCACGTCCTGATTTCTCAGGATTATGCCCTCTCAACATTGCACTCAGAGTAGAGTTTCTTGTTTTAATTTTCATTGATAAATGTCACTAAATACTGCCTGAGAGACAGAAATGGTTTTTAAAATTTGCTGATAAGGGAACTTTGCACTGAAACAAATTATTTATATGCATAAATATGTGCGTAAGTATATACATGTGTATTGTGTACATACAAATTTGGTTCAAAATGCACAAAAAAACCCACACTGGATACTTTCTCTGTTTATTTCAATAAACATGACTTTTATAAGGGATTAAGTGTCTTGTAAATCTTGTATATATAGCCATATGTATATACTTTTAATATAGATGACATATGGTTTAGAAAAATAAAAATGTACGTGAGTGAAAACCTATAATCGTTCTGTTTAAACCACAAACTGCGAATTTCCCACATCTGTTTTGTATTCTCATTGGGTTTATGTACAGCTTGTTCCTCCAAACTATGTCTGCCTTTTGTCTCATTTCCATTAAATAAGACAACTAGACTTTTTTCAAATAAAATTTGTGGAGTTTAAGAAAAATAAATCTATCCCATCCGGACAGCGAGCATTAGTATACGGTCACACAGCCTAGTCCGGTGGCCTCAATGATCAAAATATCAGCATCTGTATGCTGTATGCTCATGTGGCATCCCAGCTCCTTTTCCTAAGTATCCATGTCGAGTGAGTAGGGAGGTAATACTTTCACATAAAAACAGATTTTCAAATGTTGGTGTTTTAGGGAAGAAGAAAAGGTGCACCAAGAAAAAAAAACAAATCTGAAATTTAGCTGAAATTCCATTTTCTGCCTGTGAAAAGTGTCTCAATGGGAGCGTTTCTGCCAGCCGTAACAGTTGCCATAGATTTAGCTATAAAGCAGCGTGTTCCTAAACCGAAGCTCTGCCTTGCCCTAGACGCCACCGCTTCACGCGGTTTCGGCGCGGGGTCAGCATCCCTCCCTCCTCCCCTCCCGGGGCAGGCCGTGGCTCTGGAGGACATTCTTTATGGCTCCCCCTGCAAGCTCCCATCAGGCACGCTCTCTGCGCCAAATTATATTTCACACGCACGCCTTAATAACAGCGCAGTATGGTTTGCGTTGAAAGCAGCCTTTTAGACCATGTATTCACCCCTCGGCTCGGGCTGGGTTTAGGCTCTTGACACTAACTTCGTTTAGGTTTCTGTGGCTTAACTGTTTGCCGTTCCCATCGTTGTTCGGAACAGCATTGTTTGTAGGTCACTTGCAGTTTTAAGTGCTAATTGAAGGATCGGATTTCTTCATGTGTGATTGTTTTGTGGTATGTGGCTTGTTTTAAAACTTCGCTCTCTTTTATGTAAAAAGCCTTTTAGGCATAACTATATGGAGAGATATATAAATAATATTAATTTCCCCGTTTACTTCTCTAACTGTTTTTGCAAGAATGAATGTGGATTAACATTGTTATCCTTTCCTAACAATTATCTTTCGCTACTCTAGCTAGTTTAGTTCTAAAAGACAGAGCCATTGACAAGGGAAAAAAGGGAACCTTCTCAGATTTTTCAGCTCAGCGGTGGTAATGTTGCACTGAACACTAATGAGGGAACCCCCACTGATTTGCCTGCTTTGTGACTTTTCTATTTCATAATTATTTTTAAAACGCAAAACGACATGAGGTAGCCTAGTCATGTCTCTACAACTTCCTGGTAGCTCAGTTCTTACTGCAGATGGCAATTTGTTCTTGTAACATATATGTCTCTCTGACCATTTTCATCTAATTTGTATGGGTTCTACCATTTCCTTTCTCTCTTTCAGGGACCTTGCTGTGTGTGAGCTAGGGGGTGGCATGACATGCTTGGCTGGGCTCATGGTAGGTCTTTTCTCAATTCCAATCCCATTCAGAGGAAGAAACAAAAGGAAAAATGTTCCAGTGCCTCCAACTGCTGGGTCAGAGAACTGTCAACAGCCTCAGCTGCGGTCAAGCTGCAGAGTCTTGAGAGACCTTCTAGATTGACTTGCTTTCGTATCATATTGATTTTATGGTTGCCTCGATGAGCAGAAACATTTTACCTCCGTGTAGTCAATATCTCTTGTTGTGACATTCCAGGCCACGTACGGTCTGTCTTTCATTGCCATAGCCGAAGCTTTTTTTTTTTTTTTCAGATTATAGTCCCATTTGCTAAGATACAGGAATAGCCTGGCGAATCACAGTTGGAGCACCATGATATAGCTGCTAATGTTTTGCCTGCATTATTACACCAACAAACATGATCCAGAGCTCTCGGTAATTAGATTCTTTTGAATTAGATTGGCCATTCAGGAGAGTCGTTCACCATTCTCTGGGTTCTGAGTCATGTATTCAGGAGATATTATGTAGCAGTGCAGTGCATTAGACAAGTTTTTATGTCTCTACAAATAAAAGCATATTGTTACACTGATTGGCATTTGACAAACCTGTCGCTCTTATACAATGTGTCGAGGTTACAGCCCAATGTGCGAGCATGTCAAAGCTCACAAAAAAATTACCCTTACAAAGCCATCTGCCTGCAATGCAAAGTTATATGAAGGGCATCAGGCAGTCAGACAGAAGCAAGCTGAAAGGCAGAGTGACAGCCTTGTATGATGGCTCTACTAGATAAACAGAAGCCCGCAAATGAAAGCCTCTCAGAATACCATCATCCGCTGTCACAATGCAATTACGGAACAGAATGATAGCAAGATAGAGGCTCCCGCAAATGGAATGATAAAAGTATTGACTGATTTGATTGAATGATTAAAATAATGCAGACATAAAATGAAAAAAGATTGAAGATTGTTACAGAGAAATAGGTGAGGAAGCATGATACTGAAGGCTTGTCACTCCTGTCTTCACTTCCACACAGACAAGCATATTTGCTCATTGTTTGCTGTGCTCTTTTTTTCAGGTTGCTATTTCTGCAGATGTCAAAGAAGTTCTGTTAACTGATGGAAATGAAAAGGCCATCAAAAGTATCCTTATTCAGATAGAAAACTGGTTTGTTGTGCTCGTTCCTTTTTACTGGCTGAGTAACAATCGATATAAAGACAGACAGCATGGGGTATATTAAGAAAAAGTCCCCACATAAGTAATTAAAAAATAGATGTAGAATATCTTGAACTGAGCTACAGCTTCCCCCACAATAAATGCCACATTTTCTTCTTTAATTAAAAGTGCACATGTTGATATAGAGCAAGTACAGTAGTAAATATTTGTCTTATGGTTGAGCGCTGAAAAATTCCTTGTGTGTGCGTTGCACGTTACAAGAGGTGAAGCATTGAATCAAATCGTTAGCTCCTCTTCACATATTCGTTTTGCAGAACTAGATTATTTTTTTTTTTTTTTTACTTTCAGATACTAGCCTCTTAAAACATACCTAGTATTTGTATATTGCCATAGCTTTTCCGGTGTATGTTGAAACGCACAGTTTCATTGTTGCTGCTAAGTTATAACTGCCTACAAATTACCCATTTAGTGTGCTTAATCAATTATCAATTTATCATTATTTCTCTTGATGTAAGATTGCAAAACTCCTCTGTCTCTTGTAAAAGTATTTTATTATATTTCTTATATTAGAATAAATTGCTATTATGCCCTTCTAATATGAACACATAGTTCAGAAAATTGAACTGTACTTTGGCTAAGCGAGAGAATGAGTGAGCATAATTTGTGGCCACATTAAATATCAGCACAGAACAAGAACAGATATATACAGTGAATACTAATAGCCCTTAGAAATTGAGAGGGAAAAAAGGAAGATATCTATTTGCTTTTGTTCCTTGGTAATCTTTTCATTTGCATTTTAAGGCAGACTAGTTTTTCAGGGTTTGGCCACTGCATTATCAGAATTATTTAGATTTGAGTTTTGTATATATTTGAGAGCTAACATAATGAGTACTTAGTGAAAAAAATGAGTTAAACTAATCTGTGGTTTTAAAAAATGGCAGTTGCTGATGACTGTTAAAACAGGAAACATTGCAGTGCAATAATATTAGCTACTACCTTTATAAAGACTTTCTCAGAGGTAACTACAATTTCTTACAAGACTTTAAGAATTTCATGGAAACAAACAGCTAGTCCTAGATCATATCTTTTAAAACTTGAAGGAAGACTTTTTCTTGAAAATGCAAGGTCTCAGTTGTGTTCCAGTGATTCTTATATTGTTAAATTCTAGTTTGTTATGCTCATGTCCTGAGGAGAACAGGAATAATTCATTATTGTGTGTATTTTAATCAGCATCACCCCTTCCAATCTTTCTTGTATGTCATTATGAAGATAAAAAATGGGGAAGAAAAAAAGTGTTTCAACTAGCGTAATAAAACAAACTGATGTTTTATAGAAGCGTAGGTATTTAACAAAAGATCATTTTACCCACAGAAAGCTTCAGGTGAGCTCAGTAATCATCAAGTCAGGAAATATCTTGCATAGCAGATTCTATAAACATACCTGAACTTTTTTGAAATTTAGAGGTCTTCTGTAGCAAGGAAAATTGGCGAGTGCTAAAAGTATTCTCTCGGTCTTTGGAATTAAACAAGCTAAACTGCTTTTATTCCTGAAAAAGATACAGTTAATGTCATCTAATTAGCACACCTTAGTTTTTCACTATATGCTTTAGAAATATATTTTATTTCCAAAAATCTTACAAGACGTCTTCATCTGTATTCGCTCAGTGAATCTCTTTCAGAGAAGAGATTGGTGGAAGGCTCTAACAGGAATTTATTTATCTTTTTTAACATTTGGTGCTCTGAAGGCTCAGCATTCAAAGTGCTTTTATTGTGTTGGATTTTACAATGGGCTTAATATTAGCAGGGTGCCAAAGTGCAGCAGACTAAGAACTTTACAGTGTAGGTGGAATATATTCTTAAAAGTGCACATAATAAAATTTATGTTGCATTTTATGGGCTTTATGGACTTCAGTAGTAATTTTATGATCTGTCTTATGGTGATTTTCTTTTTCATTCTTTTCTATAGTGACTAGCTATAACAGAAGTTTAGGCTAAATTTAGTTCTGTTTCAGCCACACTAGACTCACTGAAATCAGTAAGAATTTTTAGAGTAATTTGAAATAGTATTTGGCCCCAAGTGCCACAGACTACAAATGATGTATTTCTACTAATTTTTATTATTGCTGATGGTATTTTTTAATTGTTTAGCATACCAAATTAAATTAATGTGGGATAAAATACTGTTTTCTTTTCTAGACTCAGCTCTTCAGGAATAGTTAATGCCTAGTATTATGCTTTTTATGTAGGTATTATAGATTAAAATAATCTTGTTTAAAAATTACTGTTTACATCTTCCCTTTAAATTTCTTAGGAAGCTTAAATTACATGCCAGTCATACTATAATATCCAAAAATTACTTTCCAAAAAGTAAAAGTGGTTGTCAACAAAAAAGAAAAAAAATCACTGTCAGAAGCCAGGAAATCACCAAGCAAGCCTGCTAATTATTCTTAATGGGCAAGATGAGCACATTAAGAAACAAATGAATACATCAGTGAAATGTAATTGAAAATCGACCTGGCAATAGTGCATTGCATCTGAGAATCTGCCTTTGTATTATCATCATCATCATAATTATTGTTGTTTTTGTTGTTGTTATCGCTATTCAGTGAGCGTAACTAACAGCTTTGCTTTGTGAAGTCTCAAGCTTTTGAGGATTTGATTTTTCTTTTAATTTTTGACATTCCTCATATTATTCTCCATTTCATACTGCTACATGAAATATTCACTACGTGTGTTTTCAATATCTATATTAAGATATGTTATTGAAATGTTACAAGTTAAAACAATTTATGAATATGTTAATTTCAAAGCATTGTTGTGGGTTTAACCATTTCACTGTGAAATACATAGCTATATTTTATATTAATCAATGGTCTTATCCATGAGGTCTATGGAGATTTTTAAAAGGATATTATGATTTGAGTTACTAGTCCATTTAAAAGACTTCACTCTAACTCACTCCTTTTCCTTATCATGGGTAGATTTTAATTGATTAACAGGTCATTTATATTGCGAAATCAATAAAATAAAGACAGATGTTATTGCTTCTGCAGCTTAGTTCAAAGCTTTATGGTTGGTTTAGTTCTTTCAGGATCATTTAAATAAAGTAAGTATTAAAAATAAAAATACAGATATTTCAAGTGAATAATAAAGATATACTTAAGCAAAGTTATCCGATTCATTCCCCTCTGTAATTTTGGGTGATACACATTCAGGTAAAAATTTTCCAACTTAGATAGTATCTATGACATGGTCAGTCATGAACATCAAATTCTGTTTCCCCAGAACACTGGAAGCATCTGTACTCGGTTCGACATGTCCAAATCCAAAGATGAGGTTCATTTTTAGTAAAAACTGTCTCCTATTTCAGAGAGGGTGCGTACCTTCTGCCTCAGCTCTGTTTCACACCATGCACTAGTGACTTGAGCTACTGTCTGAAAGCATCAATAATACAAAACATTGTTGCAGTGCGCTATAATGGCCATTAAAATATATTGTATGGATCTTTAAACAGTCCTGGGAAATTTAGGTTAGAAAGGTCATGTTCAGCCTGAATGCCTGAAGATATGGGCTCATAAATTATTTAAAAAAGCTGGTGTTAACATGTTTACAACGATTATTAATAATTTTGCTCAGTTATATCATTTAAGTGCAGTGTAGCTAATTTATCAACAATATTACTTGCTTCTACTTAAAAATGCATACTTTGCTCATGGAATTATTTGGGCCGTCCTTTTGTTTCACAGATATAGACCATTCATTACTACTCCTCATTGCGTCTTGTGGAAAAGATTTAGAAGGCACGTCCAAACTACAGAGATATGTTTAAACTAGTCTTCTGTCATTCCATTTCTAGTTTTTGGCTTCACAAGGTATCAGTTGTCTTTTCTTTTACATTGTTTGAGTAGAGGCTTTCCTAAAATAACTCTTCTTAAATAGTCAACTGTTTTAGGAAGGCCAATTATGTGATTTCAGCAAAGCAAATAAAAAGATACATTAGTGATATTTTAAATTAGGCTGACACTAGTGTTCAATTTTCTTATAAAAGCTCTTGCAAAGAATTCAACATATTTTGTGCACCTAGAAACGTCCTCCTAATTAGCATGAGGTTTCCTGTGCCTTAAATATGAAAGAGTGATTGTAGACATCTTTATCAAAAATATCCATTTAAGATGATTTTTTATGTTTCAGAGTGAATCGTTCAAATATGTATGGATTCACACTGGATGACATTTAATATTCTCATAGTTTTCGGTTACTTGCTATGCCTTTTGCTTCCAATGGCTTCTCACTAACCACAAATGACTGATTATGAAGGTTGTCTTTCTAGGCATAGATGACTGGGCACAGCTTCCCTTGAAACTTTTCATTGCCTTGCTTTAGCCTGCCTGAATGGCTACCCAAATCTGTGACCTGATCTTCCAGACTGAAAGAAGCTGAAACATGCAGCTGAGGCATTGAGGCACGAGGCTGAGGCACTCTTGCAGTGCCTGTGGGGAAGAAAAGGCATTTATTGCTTTGTACTATCTTTTATGGTGGTTCCAAACCATTCTCAAGAAAGCAAATGGACTAGAAACTCCCTTGCCTATAGGTTAAGGTGCTCCCATTGTGTGTTGGGTTTCATCCAGACAGAGCCAGCAACAAAGGTATGTGTCTTGTGGCAGGGCAGGTACGCAAAACCCAGAAAGCTCCAAAACGTTGGCACTGTGATCTAGTGATGCAGTCGAAAGCAGCCCAAACTAAATTGGACATTAAGCAACCATGCTACAACATTTCTGTTCATCATGATTGTAATTCTTATGTTTGTAAACAATAGTTGCCTTTAAATGTATAGAAGATATGGGAAGTCTTTTTCAGTTCCCTCTGTAGCTACAGGGCTAGCAATTCCATAAATGAAACAGTAAATAGAGGTCAGCGACAAGAGCATGTTGCTGCATAGATGCATATATGGCTGATGTGCTGGAGCAGCAATCTAAAATTTATGTTTCTGAAAAAAGACTGACTCAGCACAGATTAAAAACGACCAAACCGATAAAAGACATTATGAAGGTATTAATGGAAAAAAAGTATTTTTCATTGTTTATATTGCTGCTTTCTAGATATTACTGTTTTGTAGATAATTCTTAACGGATCTGATACAGATGTAAGTGAGATCATCACAAGAAACCAAAATGCAGGAGTATTTAAGGCTCAGAAAGTGTCAAGCCGGTAAGATTCTACTAAACTGGTTTACTGATTCTTGCATGTAATTGTGTATTTAATGTAAATGTGAAATGTATGCAAAAGTGTGAAAGTGTGACCTATATTACTGATGCTGGCACAGATGTGTATACAATGTAGGTAGGTAAGTGATGAAAGACAGAAATTTGGAAGTATTAAAAAAAAATGTAGCTGCTTTTTAACATTGCAAATACAGTATGGTTAATCTTGGTGACATAACCTCTCTTTCCTTTTTATTTTTTTTAACGTACACTGTGTCTCTTCAAGCTGTGGTTTAGTGCATGGTTGAAATTTGACTGCTTCAGAGTCAATATTGCCCATTGTACTAAATATGAGGCTTGGAATGAATGAATGTACCTAAATCACTGGCAGGTTTCATTTTAAATAGCTCTGAGAATTCAGGGTGGCAACAAATCTCACTTGCCCCCAAGACAGATGTTATTGAAGCATCCATGGGAGGTTTTTTGGTCATCCTACCTGGGCAATCAGTATCATGTTGTTTTGCTGCAAGGACAGATGGAGAGCATGGGAGCCAGGTGCAGCGTGCTGGGGCCCTTCTCTCATTGACTATGTCCCAAGGTTCAGGGTGCACCCAGCATCTTTCTCAGTGCACCAGGTCTGTTGTCTCCAAATTAGCCCCAAAAGCATGCTCTAGAGGGTAAGCGTTGTAGAGGTTCAGAGGATTTGGTTTCAGATTATCTCCAGAGCCCTTCCTGACTCATCCTGTGATAGGAGGTGCCACTGAGGTTAGCTGTTGATCTATTTCACTGAATCATCTCTGGGTACAGTAGAGATTGGAAGCAGCTGTAAATTTTAAGTGTGTTTGTCTCATAGTATTTTAAAAGTAAATTATGAAGTACTTCATATTTGTTGTATAGGGTTAAGAATTAGATTACTGCAGAACAAGCTTATGAACATAGAGGGTTAAACCCATCCAATTTTAATGGTTATCATTCACATCATTTATCTCTATGCTTATGTAGCCATTCTGTGTAGAGAAGTTCTTCTAAGTGAACACTTAGGGTTAGAAGAATTCTGCATTCATTAGGGTGTATGTGCATATAAGTTAGAGATATATCTCTGCGTCCTAATAAGTGCCTGCTAAGTAGACAAAGACCACACGGGCCCCAGGAATAGTCCCTCAGGTTCTATGTGCTGAACACTTCTTGTGAGCAGCCTCAGACACTCATCCCTGCTGAGGAGGATCTGTGTGGTACGTCCATCCAGAAGCTTAGATTTGGTAGACTTCCAATTGCCATCTACTTTGTATGAGATTTCAGATTTCATCCCTTGTCAAGACTTCAAACCTGGTCTTTTAGATATCAATCAAAAGCACATTTTCTACCCTTTCCTCATTTACATTTATCTAATACTTAAGGTCATTTGTGATCATTTGAGTGTATTTCAGCATATGGAATCAGTGAATAATAGATTTCAGCCTCATGCTGTGAAGAAAGATTGTGTTTTTACAAGAAATGATGTTGTTTACTGGGTGTTAATAATCACTAATTAATAAACATATCTAGACATCATAAAATGCTGCATTTTAAGGAGTGAAAATGTCAAGTGTTTAACTTATTGAGTGCAATAGCATTTGGGGCCATATTTGCATAAATAAAATAATTAAATTACAAAATAGAGTGAAGTACTGTATCAAAACATAAGGCTCATTATAATAAACACATAATTTGATATTTAGTTCTACATTCTTAAGACTTCTGCTGATTTGTTGTACAGTGTAAAGTTTTATAAAATAGGTATGCAAATGATGCCCTAATCCCCAAAATAATGGTCATCTGTCATTTCTCTGTCTTATACACATTAATAGTTGATTTCTCCTGTCAAAATTAAGGTTATGCTTTGGTTAGTTTTTGAGAAGTCCTAACAGATGGATCAGTCCTTCCGATGCAGTAATGACATGTGATAAAGACAGTAACAAAGTTATTTGATCACTTCTCAAGGCCTTGAAGAAACTAAAACACTGATGTAAAATCTGAAATATTACCCTAACCCTGATTCGCTTTTCCTAGACCTGAAAACCTTGGTTGTACAATGATAATGGCGGAAAAAAAAAAAAACAAAAAAAAACAAACAAACACAAGAAGATGTAGTGTTTTGTAGGGAAGAACGCAATACTGACATCCAAAGTGACATTAGGTGACTTCTTTTTCATTGGTCGGAGCTTGCAGGCAAATGAATATAGGAATGTATTTAAGTGACTTACTGCAACATTAATCCAATCTGGAGAAGGCATGCTGCTCCTCAGTCTAATGTATCTTTTAAACAGTGTCCAGTCTTGCAACTTTGCACAGTGTCCAGTGTAAAGTGACGAGATTCTTTCCATATAAAAGACCATTCAGAACAGACCCTTCTCATTGCACCTTCCTCTCACCTTGGGATCTTGTACTCTTTTCTTTGCACGTGGAGCAGAAATTAGCAATATGAGAGTCAGTTTGTGACTATTCCAGAGATTTAAGTCTAGACTTTGAAAATATGCCAAAAAATGTATGGCACAAAAAGGAACAATCCAGTATCAGCCAAGAGAAGTTAGATTAGGACAACCTGCCATACATTTGTTTATTTAGATTTATACAAAATGCAGTAAATGAGCACTTATCTAGCTCTCTGCCAACTCTTGATTATTGTTTAAAAGTACAGTAATGTAAGCCAAACTGGCAGTTTGTCATATTATGTGTTATAATGTAATAATAGATGTTTAGTAAACAGTTTACTTCAGCAGTGGATATACAATTCAATTTTATTTTTAGCTTCCATGTGTATGTTCAGAATGTCTTGCTTACGCTTAACTGGAAATAGGGACAGTAATGCCACCAAGTTACTAACAATGACTTGCCATAGTAAGGTGAATCATTAATACTATGTATGGGTTTGACAAATTCTTTTTTCACAGTTCTAAAATTATCCATGAATCACATTGGTTACCCCATAACTTAGTATACCACAGAATCATAGAATGGTATGGGTTGTGAGAGACCTTAAAGACTATCTAGTTCCAACTCCCCTGCCATGGGCAAGGGACACCTTCCACTAGACCAGGTTGCTCAAAGCCTCATCTAACCTGGCCTTGAACATCTCCAGGGATGGGGCATCCACAACTTCTCTGGCCAACCTATTCCAGTGTCTCACCACTCTCAGAGGGAAGAATTTCTTCCTTAGATCTAATCTAAATCTACCCTCTTTCTGTTTAAAGCCGTTGCCCCTTGTCCTATCACTACATGCCCTTGTAAAAAGTCCCTCTCCAGCTTTCTTGTAGGACCCCTTTAGGTACTGGAAGGCTGCTAGAAGGTCTCCTCAGAACCCTCTCTTCTCCAGCCTGAACAACCCCAACTCTCTCAGCTTGTCTTCACAGGAGAGGTGCTCCAGCCTTCTGAGTTATTCTGATAGCAGTCTTTGTATCACCATTATTTGTTTGACGTGCATTATATCATTGTTCTGAACATGTCCACCAATGATTAAATTACCAATAACAAAGTCAAGGAATCTCTGCTGGTTTTCTTCTCTTTATTTTAATGTGGAAATTGTCTGGAAGCAGAGAATTGAGTAGTAGAATTTCGAAAAATTGTTGTTACAAATGTCATGATGGAAAATCTTTATCAATGAGGAAGGCTTGCAGTGTATTCTAAAGGTTAACAGAGTCTGTATGTCTTAACCTACTAGCAAATTTGCTCTTCCATCAAATTCCCTTGTCTGAAAATTCCAAATCGGTTAAGAACAAAATTTTTGTACTTATTGCTGATAATGGGACCTGTGAGTTTTAACTGTGCACAAGTCTACTGTTTTGCCAAGAGTTGCCTCAGAGAGATTACGTTCCACAAAAGAGTGTAAACAAGTACATATAACATCAAGTCAGTGAGAAAAATACTTGTGGTGTGATGCGCCCTTTGATTTGATTTGTATTAATGTATCATATACTCTTTGTTCATTCTGTAGTCAACATTAGAACTCACATCAAGAATGTATAATTATGTGACCAAAAGTGACTATTCCTTCTCCTTAAAGGTTAAGATACAGGTGATAATCTTCTCTGAGATTTTAGTGTTCCTTACAAATGTAATGAATTTACAAGCTTCCAGAATTAAAAGAAAAAAAGTCTTTCTAAAGACTAAATGGCTTCCGGTATAATAGTGGATGAGGTCTCGATGATAGAGCGCTGATCTATATCATCCTGATTCCATTCTTATATTACCTCTTTCTCTGTAACTGCCAACATGTGAATATTTTGCCTTACTGCAATGTTCTTCAAATATGCCAACTTTCTAACCTTCTCGATTTCAACTGGTCATGTAACAGGTTCCATCAACATAGGACAGCCTTAGTAAAGACTTTCTCTCTGTTTTCATTCATCAAAATTACCTGAGTGTTGCTAAATTCAAACTTTTTGAAAACATATTTATTGAACTTGTGTTTATCAGCTTAGCAACCCCAAATTGGAAAGGAATCCCTTTCTTCCAACTACTTTTCCAGTCTCCTCATGTAACACTTTTGCGTGACAGCATCTATTAGCAAAGAGGAAGCTGCCAAAAGGAACATTTCCTGCTCTTTGGTTAGAAAGAAAAAGGGTCCTGGTTCTTGCTTTCTTAATTTTATCACTTTATATATGCGTGGCAAGAAACCAGGAATGGTCTGTCTGTTTATGTCCATTGTGAATTTGTAATGCTCTGTCACAGAAAACTCAACTCGGGGGGAAACCAGTCCATACCTCTGATCATACTTACCCTGCTCTCTATCTTTTACATTTTCAATCTACTGATTTTCAGATGAGGATGATCAGTACTACATTCAAAATGTGCATAAATGATAGATATATGTAGTGGAATAATTATGCTTTCTGTTCCTCTTGTAAAAATGCCTAACAGTGATTTGGTTGTTTGACTACATTTGAGCACTGACCTAATATTTTCATGACACTGTCTGTCACAACATCAAGAGCTTTCCAGTGATGGTCAGTTTGGAGACCTTCATTCTCT